CATATTCGTCAGCAATTTGTCTACCCAGCTGCTATTGCGGACTCCACTTTGAGCAACATTCGTCGCCATCTAAAATCGGAAAGATCGTGCAATTTTATGTCGCTTGATTTTCCTTTAAAATGTTTCTTGATCATACCTGTCATTCCGGGATTTTTTACCTTCTCTTCCATAGACGATTTTGTTGCAGTAGCGTTTTTTTTCCACTTCTAATCATTTTAAGATTATCAAAACAATTCCTTGCTCCTAACTCCATCTATTTACGCAACTAGACATTGCGTGACAGTCTTGTGACTTGTCATGTGACGGAAGTGAACCTACCGCGAATAAAAAGGCATGGGATTTTCTACAAGATATCCATGGAGATAGTTTTTTTTGAAAATATTAAATAAAAATGGCTTACCTTATCCATACGTGTGTTGTTTGCTTTTTTTTTCGTTATTTTACCGATTTAATTAAGCCGTCTTCTCTTAAGAAGAGAAAACTTTTTTTTAAAAAAACCGCTAAAATCAAGTTAAATCGGTAAAATAACGACACCAGGAGCTTTTTTTACATGTACCGTTGTAGGCTTGTACCGTTGTAGGTTTGTACCGTTGTAGGTTTTTTTTTTTGTAGGTTTGTACCGTTGTAGGTTTGTACCGTTGTAGGTTTGTACCATTGTTTTTTTGTACCGTTGTAGGTTTGTACTTCCGTTCCCCCCTAAGAACCATGTGATCCCTTTTTTTCAAAAAAAATACTTTTCCCCCTCGGACGAGATATAATGACTAATCTGATTATTTTTTTTCTTTACGGAACAGCCACGTGACCATAGATTAAAAAGGTGCTTTAGGTTGATTTTTTTTCGGGTAAAAAACTTTAACAAAGTTCCATTGCATTCATGGCCATGCTTTAATTTTTTTGCTCAGTGAGTTTCAGCGAGATCTCTTAAATCTTTTTATATCATATGTGTATTTTTTTATCTGGACTGGTTTAGTGACAGCTACAATCACTATCAGCGACATCCGCTCTTTTTTTTCTTAAATGAAGTAAATCCCCTTCAATATCTTAAAAAAAAACCATAATGACCTTTTTTTTGACGTACTTTAAATTCGTAACGTTTTGTCTCGTGCAAACAGAAATCAAAGTTTTTTTTCCAGTATACTGTGACATGTTCAAAGGAGGTTGGCGATACCGAGTTTATTTTTTTTTTAAATTAAATTGTTTGCATTATTTTTATTATTATTTATTATTTTTCTTACCATTTTTTTCTTCGTCGCACGCTCCATACTTTTGCTGAAAATTTTTTTTATTCATTTATTTTTTTTTTCAATTGAGAGTCCATAATGATTCAGGATTTAACTGACTGTGCCTCTCTTCTTTTTTTGATTGGTCGAGGAAACTCGCGCCACATTTCAAGCAGACGCTCACCTAACTGTTTTTTTTTTCAGAAAGTTTGCACTTTTCATTGTTCTTCTCTTTGATTGGTTGTTGTGTTTTTTTCTCACGACACTCGAAGAGTGATTTAAATTGGGTGAAAATAGATCCATGT